CAAAATTTGTCATGTTTGATAAGATCATGACTAGCTATTGAATTATCACCAGAGAAAAATATTGACATGAAAATATATACCAAAAACTTGAAACGATCTTAGGAGAAACGACCGTCCTTGCGGTCTGAAATACACGCGGATGTCAAAATTAACCTACCTGATGATGTCTGAAAACAAATATAAAATACTGGCAGAACAGGAATGCGTGCCAGGATGGGAAAATAAAACACATATGTCAATAATTATAATATTCTTCGCAACAACCAACATTTTTCTGTCCATTACGGAACATGATGCGATACAGAAAGGCAGTGTTCAGTGCACTGTGGGTTCAGGTACATCATAAGTCGTTTACTCTCTACCATTCGGTATTTGGCTATTTTATTTTTCATATATTCTTTCTTGTTCTATTTCTTTACACTGGTAATTCTGTCGTCAGTTAAATAGTCTAGGTATCGTGGTTGAACGTGAAAGCACCTTATCTTATTCCCAGGTTTAGAGAACAGCTGACTTATCTTCAGTGGAAAGAAAGAAAAACTCAAATTGTTACATTAACAGTCCGTATTTTTCCTGATAACATCTGTTGAATGTGTATTATCGAATTTAAGAAACGACGACGGCGGCGCTGTGGACAACGTCGGTTAAAAAGTGAACCGTCATTTTAAATACGAATCTCGCGATACTCGCAAGTCATTTAGTTTGTTTTCCACGGTCAAAACTATTTCGAAACTGAATAGGGAACACAGCGTTAAATTATAAATAAAAATTAAAAAAATAAGCCTTCGTTGTTTACGCTTAGCAGTTAGGACAGCAACGCCAAGGAAAACGTCGATTTAAAAATGAATATATATTTTAAGTTGGAATTTCGCGACTGACTGAATATGTTTATCATCTCTTACGGCGCCACAAGTTAACCTCAGCATAACATATGAGAACAGCGTTGAGTTCCAAATGGAAACTTAAATAATCTACCGTTGGGGTTTCCTTTCTCGGACCACGCAAAGTTTGATGATTTCACGTTGTTACTTTGTAGAGGACGGCTAAGAAATGTACACAGTTTTAAAACGCACGTGCTGAGTTATTGTTGTGCTCATTAGACCTTTTGTTTTGCCACGTTCTCGTTGCCGACGTGGTTTGCCAAAGGTCCCTATTGTTTTGCAGAGGACGCAGAGAAATCTACAAAAGTTTCTAACGCACGTGGACAGCCACTGTTCTACTCATTAAAACCTTTTGTTTGGTGACGTTCCTGTTGCCGTTGCCGTCGTGGTTTTCTTAAACTCCCTATTATAAGTAGTGCAACTGATAAAATATGAACCAAGCTGTTAAGGAAATAATTTCCCTTTTAGCTGTGTTTCAAGCTTGATCACTTAAAATACAAATAAAGAAGAAAGCTAACCTATTTCATAAAGGTTGTCTTTATTCTGATTTGCAAATTGTTCAGTATGTCCGCATTTCTACTTCCTCCCACCCTCAAGATATTAATTATTCGTAACTGATGAGACTGATAGATATTCAGTTTGTTGTTGTTCATCGTTCTCTCTATTTTGCTTCCTCTCCGATTGAAAGAACAGCCTCTATTTTTCTGAATAACAAGCTTATATTTTTTCTCTTGAAAATCTTCCTTCCGTCCATTTATGATCAGAACCATTAAAAGGAGTGCCATAACTTATGTTTGAATTGTCATGTTAATTAATTCCTATCAAAACTTTAAAATAAACTCTCTCTCTCCCCTGACTACGAAATACACTTTGACTGAAATATATCTCCATTCTACGAAGATTTTACAGGAAGGGTCCTGTTTTGTTTAATCCTGTTTTGTTAATCGCACGAAATATTCACTGCATTGAAAGGCGAAATTACTTATATAAGCATTTCCACGCATGTTGGAAATACGACTTTCTTTGGGTTAAAGTAGATCAGTGAACTTCTGTTTATTTTAGATAAAGTTGAACTTGATTTGCGAATCGCAAAATGGAATGATGGATATTACGGTTTTAATTTCCATGTTCCCTAAATTTCAGAAAAATCTGGTTGAAATAAATTTTGGGATTGTGTGAATTAGTAGAAATAAATAGATCGGCTATTAAAGTTTCCCTTAGAGCCATTTTCCAGTCAAGATTAGAATCGTGAAAAAAAGATGCCATCTTTTTAATTTCTATGTAAATTAGGCGGTTTATGTTTCAAAATCAATTTTGTCTATCCTCATGCTATAAATACCAAAGCCAGATGGAGGTGCTTTTTCCATAAGAAAAAATCCTATTGAGAACATTTGAGATCTACTATGATTTGAAACACGACTGTGAAGCTCTCATCTGATATCAAATTAAAACTCCTGGAAATCGTTCTCAACGTACTTTGGGACTCCTGAGGGTCGTATAGGAGCGAAAAGAGCACATCACTAAACGTGGGCGAACCAATTTTTAGTCTTAGTCCACTTACAGCTTATTTTTTTCAAAGCCTGCCTTACTGGCGGATAACACTTCCAGAAGTTGCTCAGTCCCAGACTAAATCTTCATACTGTTGTGGACATCGAACTATCCGCCGCTTACTTCCAAAATTCTTCTCCTCTCCACACCACCCCTGGATGTGTTTTAGCTTAATAAAGCGCATCATTGGTTATGATCGAACGAATCAAACTCTAAATCTTCTAACAGCTTTATTTTATAACAGCCCTTTTTTTGCCAAATAACGGTAACGGATAACACTTCCAGAACTTACTGAAAAGCTACAACTAAGTCTGCGGAAAGCAAAGTGCTCGTCTGATTGTCTCCTTTACTGCTTGTCTCACTTCAGTAATCCTCCAACAATAAAGAAACGGGTTCAACGAAGAGTTTAAGTAAACTAAGGTCTCTACGCATTCAGAGACTAGAAATTCAAAGGGAGAAGCTCTCCCTTCAGGAAGAACAGCTGTGACTATGCCGTACGGTAAATAGCAAACTACTAATGCCAACTGCACCCACAGTGCACTGTGCACTGCCTCTCTGTATCGCGCCATGTTGAGGGGAACTGGTTGCACATGCGCTTGCAGCTGATTTTGGTTATGATGAAGGCCGTGGAAAATTTTCATGTACGAGACGGTTGTTGTTATCAGACAAACCCCTATAACGACATAGCTAAACCTGATAGCTATACGGTGATTCACAAAGGACGATGTCGCACCGAGAATCGAAGAAACAATCCAAAAGATGATAAGAAGCAAATATGTTCGCTTTAAAGTCACAACTTGTTTGTATCTCAGCCCCAAAATTAGGGCGAGAAGTCTGTCTACACTTACTGCGGTCATTGTCAAAAGGGAAACTGATGCTAGTATAAAACCTGCTACAAAATGTGTGATTTGCATAAAGAGACAAAAATTCCAATATTCGTTAACTAAGGACAGCCAATACATAACGGCGGAAGGCTCTGAAATCAGACCAACACAGAGATCAGTTGTTGCCAGACAACGATACAGAAATTTGGATGGCGAATGAAGAGAAGACTCCTTATGGAGTGCGACTAAGATCAGGAAGTTTCCAAGAAATGCAGTAATGGACAGAAAAATGTTAATGATTGAGAGAGTTATTATTGGCTTGTGTATTCCATCTGCCCATCCTGCCACGCATCGCAGTTGTGCAAGTGTTTCGCTTTGTTTTGCAGTTTCAGAAGATAGGTTCACCTGTGCCATTATTTCCTCAGCAACGTTCCTCATGCTTTTCAATCTGTAGGGAAGCTTGCATCTCCGAGGATCACTTCAGGTTTTTTCATAATTTTCATGTCAGGACCTTTTGTGATAATAACTCATCGACTGGTCACGATCTTGTCACACACGTCAAACGGAAAACGGATGCCTATCAGTTGTAGAATATTTTTTCCAACGAGAAACCGTAAATCATAGAATACGAACGGTGCTCTCTCTTTATTATGTGACCCTTCGATCATTGACTCGCAAGGCAATTTGGAAATTTTGTGCTCGCTATGGACTTTTTAAGGAGAGAGTTTTTCGAGACAGCTGTGTGTACACACGATATAGCAATGGTATCGACTTGATCGTATCTCCGGTGCATAATAAATGTTTCGCGCGAAAGCGGGGTGTTTGCTTTACTTGAAATGTTTTGGGCCTAAAAAGGATGCCTCTTTAGACACCTTATAATACTTCTGCAATCATCTGTCGATTGTATTCATGATACAGTGTAAAAAGGGCAAAGAAAAATGAGAATGTTTTACAAACAATTTGACGCTGTCACACAAACTTATTACATAAACTCAACACAACTGAAATGTTGAAAACAAATTGAGCGACATAAGCAATATACGGGACGGTAGACAATGTAACAATGATCAAGATTATTTGACAGAGCAGAATCGGAAATTAACTTTCACGAAAAATCGGGTTTTTTTAAAAGAGGGCAAAAGATACTGTGGTGCTACGTCGGTGGAAGAGTATAACAGGGTAATCTAATATTATCAACTGAGTTGATAACGTAAATTGGCCACCGTAAACAGTTTCAAGCTGACGTTTCGAGCGTTAGCTCTTCACCCTAACTAAGGACTAACTCTCGAAACGACAGCTTTGAAACTCTTTACGGTGGCCTATTTACGTTATCAACTCAGTTAATAGCACTAAGTTACCCTGTTTCACTCTGATTCGCCCTGACGAAGGGCTAAAGCTTGAAACGTCAGCTTTAAAACTCTTTACGCTGTCAACTCAGTTGATGATACTAAGTTACCCATTGTTATAAAAGACTGTCATTAGACGGCTAAGAGAAAATTCTATCTCTCATTTTGTTTAGGACTTGTTGATAAAAAATAGACACATTATTTTCGTTCGAATTTTAAAGCATCATGATGGTGCTAATTTCTCCAAACAAAGAAAACTGTGTAAAGAGGTTGATGAGTTAGCACTATTCATTGACTTCACTAATTAAAATCCTTAATTACATAACAATAAATGAAACTTACCAAAGTATTGAATCAGATAAGAGCAAGTTACCAGTTGCTTTACGATAAAAAGGGTCCATAATATTTGTAACAAATATTCTGAAAGTCTAATACACAAATATCATCTTTGAAATCATAGAGAGCTCGCACAGATTCAGCCAAATCGTTTAATCTAATAATAGTTATGCAGTGAACGTATTTCAGTTTATCATTTTTGTGAATCACATTTTTACAACTCATTCACAGTCAGCTCAGTCCATGGACAGCAAAGTGTTCGTCTGATTGTCTCCTTTACTACATTTCTTACTTCACCAATCTTCCAATAGTAAAAAACCAGTTTCAATGAAGAGTTTAAGTAGACCAGAAATTCAGAAGATGATAGTCTATTTCCACGTAAAACTGCTCTGACTATACCGTACGGTAAATAGCAACCGACTAAAAAAACCAACTGCAACCGCAATGCACTGTATACTGCCTTTTCCTATCGTACCACGTTCAGTGAAGTCAGTTGGTTCGGCTGCTGTAGAGCATGCACTTGATTTTTGTTACGATGGAGGCGGTGAAAAATGTTTTTGTACTATAACGTTGCTGTAATAAGGCAAAGTGATATACCGATATGGCCATACCGGACGGCTATAGGGTGATAAAAAAGACCGATGTTCTGTCCACATTTATTGCCGTCACTGTTAAGAGAGAGACTGATGTTATATTATAAGCTGCTTCAAAATTAGTAAGTTCTGCATAGAGACAGACTCCATTCTTCGTGAAGCAAAGACAGCCAATTCATAACGATAGAAGGCTGTGAAATCAGGCCAAGACAAATAACTAATCTGTCTTTTCCAAAGAACGAAACATAAGTTTGGAATAAGTTTGGATGGCGGATGAAGGGAGTATTGCCGTGAAATGCATTTATGGACAGAATAATGTTCGCTGCTGCGAGAAATATTACGGGCAAGTGTATTTCATGTGCTCTTCCTGCCACGCATTGTGGTTTCGGTTTGTTTTCCGCTACGCCCAGATAGATTCACTTGAGCCATTATTCTCGCCGCAACGTGCCTTATGTTCTTCAATCTCTAGGGAAGCTTTAATCTTCGAGGATATCTTGAGGATTTGCTACGTAATCTTCATGTCAAGGTTTCTTGTAAGTCAACAGCAAGAAATGATCAAATATGTCAAATTTGACAATCAATTATCTATGGCGTTCAATCCCTGCCAAAATTCAAGTTGTATTTTCAACCTTTAAGTTTCATTTTCAATAATCAAGTTTTATTTAGTGCTTCTTCAGTAAGCTCCACCCCCTCTTGACATGACTTGTAAAACAATTTAGAAATGTTACGCACGCTGTATCATTTGAAGGAATTATTTTTTCGAGACAACTGCATATACGCGCGATAGCTCTTGTATTCTGACTGCAGCAACGTATCTCTGAAAATGTTTGGGCCTATAAAGGAAAAGAATAATACAAGATGAATATTTTACAACAAATTTGACGCATTGACGAAATCTAAAGGCAGGAATTCAGAAAAACTGAAATATACAGATACGGAACAACATATATAAGCATGCCATTAAGATAATTTGACCAAACAGAATCAGAAATGAGAGCGCACGAAAAAATTGGTTATAAAGGTCGTCTCCAGACGGCAAAAAGAGGAAATTAATTTTCTAGCTTCTTATTAAAAAATGAATCAACTAAACAACTGTTTAAGTCGTGTTTATTCCATAGATGAGTTTGGAAATATGCGTATTATCAAGTTACCAAGACTTGTTGGAAGACTTCAGAAGAAAATCATCTCAATATTTTTGCCGATAGGTAGGATCTCTAAAAAGGCATGATACAGAACTTCCTTGGGTTGGTTTCCATCAGTTTATTAAAAAATTTGAATGCTAGAAGAACAAAAATTAACGTTGTCATTATTAAAGCTCAAATTGTTTCATCGATAATAAAAAGATTTCCAGCGAGGCATCTAGCTACCTACAAAGGCGTTTCACAGCAGATGCAAATGAGATAAAAAATCATTCAACCACAGCTCATATATATGCCTGTCGCACAGCTGGAATTTATCAAAGCACAGTAGTAAAAAAATTGTTTTGTAGATAAGGGGTTCTTTTTACCCCTTCACTGCTACAAGGAAGTACTGAGTACGTCGTATATCAGATTAATCATATGATACAAGGACCTACCCAGTATGTGCTAAAACATAGTACTTGTATGAATACTTCTGCACACTGTAAAGACAATTAAACTGGTGAGGGTCTGGTAAAGATTAGTATACTTGGTGTCAGATACATGACAAAACAACCGACAAAACATCTTTTCCTCGTCAAGCACATGTTGTCTCCCTGTGAATTGTGATTGTTTCGTTCTTTTTCCGTTTGAAACTGGCAAGCAATGAGTAAATTTACTTTTAACATAGTTCTAGATAGATTGCGGAACGAATCTGGCGATGAAGAGGATGCTTCTGAGGAAAGTGACGAAAATGATGAAGATTATTTAAATACCACACGGAGTGCAATTATTAACTGATTTTTTTTAGCAAAATGCACAAATATTGTGTAGAATGATGAATTTTAAATGTACATTTGATCTCTGTAGCTTAGAACTGTTTAGGAGATTGAATACATCTTTATATTTCATACTTTAAAAATACCCAAATTTGTCCCACACAGGGGTGGAAATATCTAAAAAAAATGGCTCGCGGGAAAGGGTCAATCAACTCACAAAAGGAGCCAGTCTGCTAGGAGAGTAAATGCCAAATGGTGAAACATTTCTGGAGCAAAATTCAACCAAAGGGTTATTTTTCTAAAATTAAGATTTATCAAGAAATTTGAGTGCAGAAGAGTAAAACTGATCGAGACCCGGCTAAAAAGCAAATCGTGTCGTAAGTCATGCAAAGACTAACTCCAAGGACAGCAAAGTACTTGTGTGATTGTCTCCTTCACTGCTTGTCTTATTTCATTTATCTTCCAGCAGTAAAGAATAGGATTGAGAGACGAGTTTACGTAAACTAAGGTTGCGGTATATCCCCAGACTAAAAACTGTAGTGGAGAAAGTTCGCCCTTTGGAAGAACCGATCTCGCTATGTTGTATGGAAGATAGCAAGCAACGAGTGCCAGCTGCACCCACAGTGCACTGTACACTGCCTTTCTGTATCGCGCCATGTTCAGTGGTTGGCCCAGCTGTTGTAGAGTATGGATGTGTACTTGATAATGGCTATGGTACAGAGTGTGGAAAATTTTTGCGTACGAGAACGTTGCTGTTGCAATACACAGTGGTATAACAATATAACTATACCAAATGGCTATGCGGTGATTAAAAAAGTACGATGCCCCAGTGACTATTGACACGACCCAAAACATAATTAAAATCACACATGTTCGCTTCATGGTTACAACTTGTCTGTATCTCAGCTCCAGCAACAGGGCAAGAAGTCTGTCCACACTTATTGCAGTCATTGTTAGCAGAGAGACTGAAGACAGAGAGAAGCCTGCTATGAAACTCATGCTCAGCGCATAGCGGCAAAAATCCAAGTTCTGGTCAACCAGTGACAGCAAATAAGCAACGTGACTAGGCCCAGTAATAAGGCCGACACAAAGATCAGTTGTTGCCAAACAACGATACAAGAGTTTAGACGGTGGATGAAGGGAAGATTGTTTGAAAAGGGCGACTAGGATAAAGGTGTTACCAAGAAATGCAGTAACGGACAGGAAAATGTTGAATGCTGAGATAAGTATCAACTGTGTGTGAATCTTATCTGTCCAACCTGCCACGCATCGTAATTGTGCAAGGATCTCGGTTTGTTTCCCTGTATCTCCTGATAGGTTTGCCTGTGCCATCATCTCTACGAAAGTGAGTGCACTTTACTTATCTACCAGGGAAGCTTTTGAACCAGTTGCTCCAAATGTCACTTCAGGTTTTTTGGTGGCCTGACTTTAGAGCTTCTATTGACAAAGGATCAACAGCTGCCTATGATATGAATAAACATGTCAAATGTAATTTTAAAATATTCACCTAAGATGTACCAAAGCAAACTCGATGGACTTCCTTGGCTCAAATGACTTACGACATCTCATAAGGATTTTAAAAAAGTATTTCTTTTCTTTGCGGCTTCTCCTTTTAACAATCTGGTCTCATTATGGATGTTTGCTAATTGATATTTACCATCAAGTTGAAATTAAACTTGTGCTGACAGAGGGCAAATTGCTTTTGCAATTAATGAAAGCGCGTTATATTTCTTAGAACGAAAGATCTCTATAAAATGTACTAAGTAGGAAAACTAGCCCTAATCTTTCTTGCTGTCCTTTGTCCGAATAGCGTAGATACTCGCCCGGGTATTTTTTTTATACTCAAAATAATACCAATCAAACAGAAACTAATTTTTTCTTTGTAAAACGCTTTTTTGTTACTTCCTTACGAAGATTACGTGTATTTGTTCGCAAAACGAAATGGTAAGAGTCAGAAAGCTTCAGTTTTAAAAAAAGGCGGCTCGGTCATTTCACGGTTCAGGAGCACATTTTGCTGAAACAGACGGCAGGCATACTTTTAGGGAAACTATTAAGGGCCTCTCTGCTTTTTTTACAGTGTTGTGCAAAAGTAATGCATACAATAATCGTATAATATCAAGCCTGCCTTATCTATAAATCGCACATTTTAGCGACACTTCAGAGCGATAATTCGACGAAATATTGGAGCTTTCTAGCAATATCTCACCGATGTCTCGTTCTAGTGAGACATCCTCCCTTAAAGCGCCGGACAAATGATCACGGCGCGGCAGATCATCTTAGCAGGGGTTTCTCGTCGCTATTGATTAACTTAAATGTCTTCGATATCTTGTTTGAGCGAAATGACGATAAGTTACTCACCTACCCACCTTGCGTTAAGGGCTACGTACTTTAATGCTTCTGCGGTCTCTGAGTCTTGGAAATTCCAGACCTAGGCAGCAGAAAAACTTTACCAAGACAGCGTGCAGTCAAAAGGTAATAAGAGGAGTTTCTCACACGTTGAACGATTACTTAAAGCAGATGCAACACTATTCTTTCTGTTGACCAAAGCGGTCCTAATACAAAGATATGAAAGGATATCAGATCATGGAAATTAACATCCGTAACTCACAGGGCGATAGGGTGTTATCTGTTGTGCAAAATATGGCAGCATGAGGCGACACAATTTGAACATGGAAATTAAACTGTAATTCACAGGGCAATGGGTGAGTGTTATCTGTTGTGCAAAATATGGCAGCATGAGGCGATACAATTTCAACATGGAAGAGATTAATCAAATTAAGGTCAGCAAAACAAAAAGAGATTAATTAAGACAAAAATAGCTTTGTTGCAGGATTGAAAGAATACTACAAGGTGCGGATCAGGACTATCTACCTGAAAGTTGAAGTGTACAGCCATCCTTGAAGTGTCTCAGACCTACGTCGGCCAATATCGGCCAATATCAGCCACTGTGGTGTGTGTTGGGGTGGTCCTCAATTTTAACGCACTTTTCAGTTGTGTCGGTGAACCAAAACCAAAGCAATCACAAAGACCAATCATGGCAAGTAAAATTATCTCGAAGAACCAATGGAAACTCAAAGCAAAAACAAGCAAACTGCCTGAAGCGCGGGAAAACGCGTGCGACCAAGTCGCAATTGGTTTTAGTTTTGAATCTGATTGGTGGAGAGAGTGGTGCGAGTTTTCTGGACCAATCACGAAGCGAAGTAAAGCAAAACCAATAGATAATGGATTTACCAACATCCTTTCCCACGAATACCTTAGGTAGGCCTCGCATAAAAAACGTTTCCCAACAGAATGCAAACAAATAAAAACACTCTGCAAAACATTGGAAGTTGTGAAATTTATTAATTCCTAATAATTCTCTTGCACTGAATCTTTCCCTACTGAGAAATAATCTATTAATTTCATTTTCTATGGAATATTCTACACATTTTATTTTTTAACAACTTGTTATAAAATCAATCATATATCAAAATAACTTGAAAAATTTATCCCACCACTATTATATAAAATATATTCGCTTTGATATAATTTTGGTCATAAATTGCCAGCTAATCAAAATATCCTTATTGATTTAAAGCATTTACAAGTACACATAGCATTTCAGTTAGAGGAATAAAACTTATTAATAGAAAAAAAAATGTTGGATTTATGGGAGCATTAAAACAAGATTACTCAATGCGCGCAGTAAAATGAATCCCCGTTAAAATGCTTTGGAATCATTGGCATTTACTAGAAATCCTTTGATCAAAATACGAACAGAGTAATTCCAAAAAGCACATACTTGAGAATGAGCCACTTAAAAATTGGAACCGTATGTGGATACAACTGAGAAATGATGCGAATAACAAAAGCATCTCTAGGAATTTTACCTCCCAAACATTTCACACTCTTGGATCATTAATATTTCCAGAAAATATTGCTTGCAAGGAGCTGAAATTTTACGGATTACTAACTATAGAAAATTTCCATTGTTTCCGAGTAATTCATTTATACTCCAAGACCTCTGGGGACAAACTTGAATGCTAATGATCCAAAACGAGAACTGTGAATTATCTACAGCTTATTAGAAATCATGGAAATAAAAATCATATTTTTTCCAAAACCTTTCTTAAAATTAAATACACCTTCGACTGCATAAACAAATTGTTTTACAGCCATACCCAAATTCCATATTTGATTATCACAGATGATCTATAATACAATTTAAAAGGCTCCTAAGGATCCTTCTCCCCGCCAAACCCGATTAACATGCAACTAAATATGAGCCGCCACATTGTAATTTGTCCTACGAACCCTACCATACTTTAACATTTTACACTCTAAGCTCAGTATGCATATTCTCCACACGGTTCTCTATACATTTCCGAAGGTGCTGACAAGAAGAATTTGCTTAACAGTCCACAGCTTCTGTAGTTGTTGATTATTTTCATAATTCTCATGATTGTAATGTTTGATTCAGAGGAGATACTGTGAGGAGAAATTAGAGGATAATCTCTCTTAGGGGTTAAAGGGTTAAAGTACTTTGCACGTGAACAGCTCTTACACGTACCAACCCCTACAAGAAATCCGTCACGAAAAGAGTGAAAGAAAGAAAGAAACAAACAAACACTGAAAAGTTAAGTGAGCATTAGCCTGATATCACCGTTAACAAATACCCCTCAGTTGTTATACTACTATAAGACTAGTGCCCTAAATATTCGCGTCTGATTAGTTGACAGGAGATACTACATTCAATGAAAAATATGTTGCGTAGCGCAGAATTTCGCGCCAAAATAACGCGACTGCAGAATTTCCCAAATATGTATCATTTCGTAACTATCCATGTGTCAGCGAGGAAGCCATTGTTACTACTCAGCCTTGTTTGTATGGTGGCATTCAAACAATTTTAAGAGAGAATAAATAAACAATGCCACACAACACAATGACTCAGACCAACAATGGTTCCTTGAAAAACAGTGTACTATGGTATAAAATGGTTTCCTGTAAAGACCACCATCTAAATTGCGATTTGTCACTCGCACAGAATTTTGCTGAATGTCCCGCTGTAACTCAATGATGCCTAGTTTGCATCCACAACGTGCAAAATGATCTACATCTTAACTTGTTTCTCTTGCTTCTTGCTTCTTGCTTCTTGCTTGCAGCCAAGTTAGGGCGGCAATCTCGAGAAGAGGTATTTGACGAGCTTCTGAAAGATTTCATCTCACAGTCACACTCGTTACAATGCCAATTCTCTAGCCATTGTTAGAAGGTTTCCAACGGCATTCCAGGTGGGTTTGCTACGTTTCGTCTCTCTGAAGTTCGATAGCGGCCGGTGATATCGTAAGACACGTTATCCAAATGTTCATACTTTGTTCACTCGGTGCATACATAATGTATGTACGATCTGGAGTATCCACACAAAACAGGAACCGATTTTTGCTCTTGCCACACTTCTTGTGTTCGTACACACGGGTGATGGCCTTGCAGCTGATAGCTCCTTTGGGAATATCCGCCTAGCAAGAAAAATGACAAAATTGGTAATTCCACAATTTTCTCTACCAGTAAAACAAATCAAGTTTTTGAGTACTGAAATTATCTAACATTCACCTAAACATGTACAATCTTGATCACAAGAGTTGGAAAATTTTGCAAAGCGTAATTACTACAGAAGAAACATCATTCGAACCCGACTTTTGGTACACGCTGGAAGCCAGGTACACCGGAACTCAACGCCACTGTATTTTAAATTCTTCTTTTTCAGCGGTATTACATCGCTTCATTTAACTAACCTTTTCCGTTTCAAAGTAAGCCAAGCATTTCCTAGTTAGGTCGAGGACAAACCATCGTCTCTTCCAACTCCTTCGAACCTCTGAAAAAGACAAGCAAAACATAACAGGTTGTTTTAGCGTACCTTTGCATCTTGTTCTTTGCAGTAGAAGGGGTCGTTGGCGAAAAAAGGGAACAATTTCTAAATAACATAATTTTTCACTAAAGGAAATTGACTTCAGTTCAGATGACGCCATTAACACGTAAAAGAATAACAAGGAAAAAAACTTTCAAAAGGTTTACATAAACTTCAAACAGTTTATAGTGGTTAACAGTATTGCCTGAGACGTAACTAAACCGAGCAGAGGCATGGCGAGAAACAAAACGGACGGAGTAGACCCGAGTTTGAGTGAAAGGAAGTAAAAGGGATAGCTGTTGGCGATGATCACTTAAGTAATCGCTCGGCCACCGTCAATGAGGCGTGGGTTCGATTCCCGCCCTTCTCCTGTGGATTGATCAGGATGATTGCGATGCTGAATTACACAAACGAGTAACTAACAAAAAGATATTTAAACCAATGTCTTTTTAATGCCAACATTTTTTATAACATAACTAGTAAATTTGTCTAATCAAATTCAATTGCGCGAGCGTGCTTCATATTCCTATTGTGCACGCTCATGACGTCAGCAAACAAATCCCTCGAGAAAAACAATTTTCCATCGGGTTGAAAATGTTATAAAACAAAACAATTGGTTCATACGTCAGCTGTGCGTTCATCGAGATATGAAACACTTGGGACATTTGGAGAGCACTCAAGAAGCTGGCGTGCTCTCCAAACTTCCCGCGTGCTTCATAGCTTCATATCTCGATGAACGCACGCTGACGTACGAACCAATGGTTAATTCATCACGTATCACTTTTATCGTACATTTGGTCAGCTGATGCCTGTACCAATATTTTCTGTGGTAGTTCTTTGTTTCATACAAGAATCATCCGCGAAGAGAGGTGTGTAGCGAAGTGAAGATTTTAGTTACACTTCAATTTTGAAAAGAACCTACATAAATATAACGTGTCTACAGATTTTGTTGCAAATTGAATATAACTCGGCCGGTTTCTCTTCTCAAAAAAAGGGTCTATCTTTTTAGAAAATAAGGCCTGGCATCCAATCACTGCTGATTTGGCTCAAATTTAACTATCATATGCTAGCATATCAAATGCAAGGCCACTTTGAATATTTTCCAAGACTTACGTCCTTGTTTGACCATATAGCCACAGCATCGTGATTCAGTCACTATAACATCCTTCTCTGAACCAAGATCGATACCTAAACAACGATGAAAGCGAATTTACAAACACCTATAAAATTAGCATTCGACCAAGGACAAATTTGGACGCAAGGAATGAGAGCTCAATTAATTTTTGATGATCCAAGATGGCTCCAACTCGTGCGTAAAGATTTTTTCAAACGTTGCAGATAGGTAAATTTTGATGTTCTGATTAAAATAAATAATATACAAAAAAGGAATTGCTCTTAAAAAATTAAAAATACCATTTCAAGTCTCCTCAAGGATGGCGTTTATTTTGAAACATAAGGAATGTGTGGAAATCCTCTAAAGTGGATGGTGTGAAACGAAAGATCGATCTTTAAGTAACCTTTTTTCATCAGATAAAGACTTACTGCATTATGGCTGATAGATAGTCCTGTCAGGAGATTTTCTTACCTTCGCTGTCGAGGTACTCTTTTAGACTGTTGTATTTCTCGGAGATGGGAAGATTTCTCACATCAGTGGTAGGCTCTTTTGTGAAGACAAATACACACAAAAAAATTAAGTCAACGAATGGAGTGACAAAAGAGGTAACTTAACTTATTTATAATACCGTTCCATCTCTTCTCATTCCTTCTAGAACAGCTGATCATCTTTTTTCGTCATTATAACATTATCACGCCTTCATTATTATTACCACTACGATTAGTGTTGTATAAGGGTATATCGTACAAAACTCGAATATCATCCTTAGCTGTCATGCGGCCAACATTTTTTTAAAAACATATTATTTTTGCTCATCACAATAGTCTAATATCTCTCTAAATTCAACGAAAGAGCTCAAAGATTACCACTCTGGCTTTTTAAAGGATTCTCTGGACATTTTCGACTTTGCAACATGTAGAATACTTGTCACAAATACTGACATACAGCTTAGCTAACAAGCGAGTTCTCCACAGCTCGGTCGGTTAAGCATTCTTTATTGCGACATCAGGAGTGCCTAAGCTGTGAGTCTTCACAAGGACTAAAAATTCTTCCGGAGTCTCTAGCTCGCTACAACTTTTTAACATATTTTTTTAAACGACTGTTGCACTCTTGACTGACTCGAGGGGATTCAGAATCAATACGGCTTCATACATGCGTCTAAACCTAATGGCCTACCCAGCCGAAGCTTGTCCCGGTTTCCAAAGCATAAAGCGATTATGAGTATTACTACTCTCCCTGGATGGGATGCCAGTCCGTCACAAGGCTCCCGCCCTGCATTTCATCAGCCTTCCCTGACCATTCGTTGGTCAGGGAACCCTTTACACTCGTGGGTGGTGAGATGCGGTTAGACTTAAGTGTGTTGCCCGAGAACAAAACACTAAACCCGACCGGGCCTCAAACCCACAGCCTTACGGACTAACATTGGGCCTTAACGGCTCACCGAAAAAACTTACCTGCATTGACAGCATTCACTATCTGCTCAGTGTAGAATTTGCTGCTCCCGACCCGTCGCAACAACGTTGTTTTCTTAGGAGCTCTTTTTTGCCGCAGATCAGTGGTCAACATATCATCCAACGAACGACTGCGTGTCATCCGCCTCCTCGGCATAGACAACGACTTCATAGATGACATCAGAGTATCCGGGTCCTCTTCGGACAGGTTAGAAGCCTCGCTTGGCCAGGTCCCGGATGCGTCAAGTCCGTTATCAAGCGAACTGTTCCTGCTACCCTTAAACACGCTAAAATGATCGTTTGAACTCTTTTTTTGCAAGGCACGGTGAAGAGTAGCTGTGTGGAAGGAAAATGTAGAAGAGTAATCTTCGGAGTCCACTTCGGCAAGTTTACGAATCAAACTGCAGTATTTTTCCTGGAGCTCCTGAAAAGACAAAATCAAGTGGGTGTCTCACAAAATCTGTAACCACCGTAAAATCCCAGCTATAACCCCCTCCCCACCCATCTTACAGGGAACAACGCACAACGTTCTCAGTGTGGTCTTTTGGCCAAAAAACGGCACTTGCAATGTTACAAGGCTCACGAAACCGCTGACCACATCATTGTCTTGAGCGTGAGCGTGATTCACGCGCCCTCTCTAAGCTTAATACTTCGGAGAGAGGGTCAAATAATTATAAAAGAAAACAACAGCTTCTGAGAAACATTTAAAGACCATACCATGAAATCTTGTTTGAACAACGTCACATATTATTACACGGCCACCAAACACAGGTTGCCATAACTACCACTATGGTCGCAGCTTGGAGCAGTGCAGTTTAGAGGCCCTCTGTCTCGTCGAAATGCCTCGGAAAGTGATCAGCCACCTGCCTTGATTAAACTTGTCGAGTAGCACTGACATTGACGTTTTAAGTTATTTTGTCATCAGTGCTAGCTCTTGTCAGCCATTGAATGCTGGAGAGGATGCTGCCAGCTTTCTAGACCAATCGTAGAGCGGGTTAAAGCCGAACCGATCTCATTCCAGATTGCTTTTGACACACTAATCAAAACTGCCCCAAATCAGAGACGTTATTCAGGAAAGGAATTTTGAGAGGGATTTAAATATGTACGCCCAAATTTTGTTACCTCGTATCTATCTTCTAGTTTCAGTGCCTCCAGCTCGGCTGCTTTTGAAGCATCGTGAACATGATCATAACGATATCGATTGACATAGAATGACGACCACAATTTAAGATAAGGTATTCTGTACAGGGGACGAAGCACTCTGGGAAAAAATATAGAAACAAGCACTTATATAAGTTAAAGCAGTCAACCTTTTAAGTTATAACACGAACAAAAGTTTAGGTCACGGGGAGGACACCGTCAAGACCTAAGAGCAGACACCGGCACTACTATTACCTAATATCAAATTTTAAAATACGGCTTGTAAAATCATTTCTGACACGTTAAGTTATCGGTTCTTTCGAGAAACAGGCCCTTACACCCACACGTGGGTTGGTTTTGTAGTTAGCTCTTTTCCTTGCTCCTAAGCTATTTTGTCTGAATTCTCCTGGAATCCTCCCTCCATAAAAAACGCAAATTTAGATTTGACTTGGTAAAAGAGGAAAAAGACCATCAAAGGAGCAACAGGATTTGGCTTTTGACGCGAATGATTCTGAGAAGAACACGTCTAAGTTAAAGTGTATCACAGCAACCTGCCCTCAGAATGCCGTTTGAAGTCAAGTTTACAGAGAGTCCTCCTCGTATACATCTCCAGCACTCTGTCATACTTTAGTAGGAGTACCTTTTATAAATTCAAATCTGGCGCATTTCTATGGGTATAAAAATAACTCAGAGTTTTTTCAAAGTAACAAAATCCCCCCAACAAGGGTTGACGAGAGGATTTGACGCAAACGTAGAGATTTTCCTCTTGAATCTCAGCGAACTGTTTGAGAGGGCGCCAGCGCTGATTCAGGAATGAAAAGTTAACGCCCGTCCAGATTTGTCTCGTGAATTCATGTAGCGTCGTACGTTAAAACATTTTGTGAGGTGTAACCTTTGTGAGATTAAAAATTGAAGGAGTTAAAGTATCAAAATAAAAGCTGTCTTCAGAGCGAAAAAATAAATCAACACTGTTCACTGACTCCAGATTTACTTAACGGTGCTATGACATCCTTTAGAGACAACGGAAAAGGACACAGTGTTGTGATTTGTTTAAAAAATACTCGATTCATGGGTTAGTTGATTCTCACTCTAGTCTTACCTCTGTTGCTGTTGTTCCTTATAACGCAAATTGATGAACTTTTCAGGGTTTGCCATGGTAGTCACGTTTAACCAGGTCCAAAGGGAAATTGTCTTATCCTCATATTCTTCCTGTTAAGAAGACAACAAACCAATATTTTCCTTTTGAAAAATAAAGTTCTGAGTAACACGCACAATACAACTGCCTTCCATATACAAAATCATTTCACAGGTCGAATTTGTTGATAAAACCGCTAGTGAGATTTCCGCCCAGCACCCTACTATCTTAAAACAAAGCATAGTCCCCGAGGAAATCTATTGTTTTCGCCATTGTTTTCTTTGTATAGGTAATAACATGATTTCGGGAACAATTTGATGTTAATAAGGTAATTTAGTATTATAAACTGAGTTGATAACGTAAATTGGCCACCGTAAAGATTTTAAAAGCTGACGTTTCGAGCGTCAACCCTTTGCTGCTCGAAACGTCAGCTTTTAGACTCTTTACGGTGTCCAATTTACGTTATTAACTCAGTTGATAATACTAAATTACCCTGTTATATTCTCCCAACGACGCAGCACCACAATTTCTTACCCCCTTATTCTTTGGTGTTAATAAGCACGAGTTAATATTTCAAAGACAACAAAATTGCACGAAAAATCACGTTGTTACTTGTTAACAATTTACATGAAAAACGCATCACAATAAATCAAAACGGACGAAATTTTAGCAGCGCGCGCTATTTGTAATTTGCACTCGTGTTACAACTTACCATGCCAACCAGAAGCGCGTAAATTTTTTAATGCATATTATTAATTCAAGAACTGTGTGCATCATGAAGTAGGGGCTGTGCAGAAATTTTACAAACCGTTACCAACGTTATGAAGTTTATCTTAGGAGTCAAGTACGCTTCAGAGTCCATATCATTTTTATCTTCGTTATCATAAAGCAGGTGGATAATTGTAAGACAATAACCTCAGTTTGAGATTATAAGGAGTAACCTTACCTTCCAAACTTTTCCTTCAAATATGCTGAAAATTCGACTATGGCTTAACCCTTTATACCCTAACATCAGTATACAAGTTCTCTTTACTGTTCTCCTCACATTTCCTTTAGTATTTACAGGGAGAATTTGTTTAACAATCAATCGCAATCATTTCCTGTATTCCCGTAACCTTAATATTTGATTCAGGGGGGATACTGTTGTAGAAATTAGATGGTTATCACTCCTAGGGGTTAGAAGGTTAAAACACTTCTCTATCAGACAGGTTACTATGGAATCTCAAAGTAAGATGGGAACTTAATTTTTAAAAATACTTAAAGATAAAAAGTACAAAGCTTCTGAATCGTAGTCTTTCTTTAAACACGTGACAGAAAAAATACACACTGCTGTAAAAAATTGAGCGTCAACATACAAATAGATGAGGCTTGAAGTTACGTACCTCTTCTCTCTCGCTTTCTGCGTTGGCAATAAACGTTCCAAATCGCGAGGAATAAACGTGTTCTGCAATTACCTAAAACAGAAATAAGTGCAGTGAGGACAAGGTATAACTTATCAGGTAGCACCGTCCAACATTGGAAAAAGGCTGAAACTTCCACAAAGGCCGTGTAGTGAAAGACACATTAACAACTCTTGGTCTCTGTTTATCAGTTAGTTAGAGAGATACTTGAATGCGAGAATAAAAACGCCCATGCACTTGGTGGAGAAATACACTGCAAACCAGCGCGTGCATCAATGCTGGTCATAACAACTGCGCGAGATATTCACTCAAGAGGTCTGCTGCGAGCGTGGAGATGGAAACTTTTTGTGTAAATCTTTGACTCTGCAACAGAATTTGGTCGCAGCAAAAGGTCGCATAATTTCCAACTGGCTTGAATTAGCACAACTTGGCATTGCCTGTTGACCCTTTCCCTCTCAAGATCTCATTAGTAGTTCTCCTTGTCGCCCGCCATCAATTCTCATAAGGTTGGTTTGGAAAACTCTGTATTGCATCATTTTATAACCCCCTTATTTTTATTTTTCCTCATTCTCGTCACACGTCTGCTTGATTTAACAA